TTTAAAACACTTTTCAGAATTTTCAGAAAACAGGGGTCTCGCTCGAGCATGGCTTTCTTTGCTCGAGCGAGCTTGTCAAAATAGTGGGGTTGCTCGAGCGTGGACTTCCTCGCTCGAGCGGTCTGTAAAAATGAAAAAAGTACTGGATGTTGAAAATCCTCGCTCGATGTTCGCGCTCGCTCGAGCGTAAGACACAGTCCTCGCTCGAGCGTAGGTTCCCTCGCTCGAGCAGACGCTCGAGCGTGCATCTGCGTGCACCAAAAACCTGAGAGTTTTCAATTTACGCTCGAGCCACCATTCTTTCGCTCGAGCGAAGCTCTGAACAAAAGACGGTCGCTCGAGCGTGGAATCCTTCGCTCGAACGTGGAAGCCAAAATCTGGAATTTCCAGATTTGCCTCCCAAGCTCAAACCAAGCATTCAACACATCAACACTCAACCTCTTGGGCCCATTTTCTGGAAAAACACTTTAAACCCATAATATAACATGTTTTGCAGATCAATTTGTAAAATCAAAGCCCAATGGTGAGTCAATTGAACACCATTTTTAAATAAACTTCAAGAACAAAGCTCAAACATAACATGTATGAATTTAACCAACTTCAAAGCTTCTAATACAAGAACAAATGAGTCAATCCTTCCAAAAACATGCTGAATTCATGGACCAAAGCTAGAATATGGACATGCATGTGAGGATTTCCATGAAATCAACCTTAAAACTCAACAATGTATACATGAATGCATGAATTCCAACTCAATTCAACATATTAAGCTAATTCATGCCTTAAATCACTAACCTTACCATGAATCATGCAAGAACAACTCAAACTCACAATTAAAAGGGTGAGTCTCCTACCTCAAGTCTCTAATTCAAGGTATAGAAGCTCAAATTTTGCAAGTTCCTTCAAATCTTCCAATTCTCCAAGTAATCTCCTAGTTGAAACCAATTCTCCTTATTCTCACTCTTTCTCTCGAAATGGCCTCAATATGGCTGAAGAGTGATGTGTGATCAAGTGTAATAAAGCTTCAACATTGTCTTAGGTAGTGACCTACTAAGTGGCAAAATGGTAGATAAATCCAACTAATGTAATTTAGCTTATTTAGCCTCCGTTTGGGAAGTGGGTTGACTTTTTGACTTTTTTGGTTATTTTAGCCTGGGCTGAAAAGTTTGGTTTGGGAAGGGCTTTTTGGCTTTTTTGACTTTTTTTGTGAGAGAAGAGTGTAATGATTACGGGTTGGATGTGATATTTTGTTTGATATGGCTAAAATAGTCTATTTTGTTTTTTGTGGCTATTTTAGCCCCCAAACCACTTGCCAAACACCACCTATCCAATTTAATCATACCAAATCAAATTTCAACTAAATTTACCATAAAATCACATTTATTCTAATTAACACAAAACACTAATCAGTTCCAGATTCGGCCGTTGATAAGGCCTTCAATTTGCAGTTTAAAACATAAAACATGAACAGATCATTAGCAGTCAAACAGATAGACATGCGTTCAAACTAATACACTCAATCAATCAGTCAGAATTTCAGTCAATCAGTCACTTAACATGCTTAATCATAGATTAGCACTAATCAATGGTGAGGGTTGTCACACTAAAATAACTCAAAAAGCCAAAAAGCCAAAAAGACAACTCACTTTCCAAATGAAGCCTATTTATTTAGGGATTTTTTGTGAAAAGCCCCTCCCATTGGGCCTATTTTGTGTGAAGCCCAGAGAATTAAACAATGACTCAAAAAGCCCTTCAATTAAAAAAATGTCATGAATTGACTGAAATGTCCTTCCATATAAGTAGGAAAATATGAAACAATTAACAGTAAAAATTTACTATCAATCAAAGTAAATTTTACTGTCACTATCAAAGTAAAATTTTACTATCACTATCAAAATAAAGTTTTACTGTCATCACAAGTCCAAAAGTCAATTTGTGTTGATAAAATTTTACTGTGGTTTAGTGTAACATTATACTATATTTTAGAGTTAACTTTTACTATTTGGTTTGCCAAAGATTGACAACTCATACAGTGTGTCACAAACACAACTTGAGACATGAATGTAAAAGTAAAATTTTACTCTGCATAAAAGTAAAATTTTACTCTGAAATAAGAATAAAATGTTACACTTTGAATCTAAGAGTAAAATGTTATCCCCTGAATTTAAAAGTAAAATTTTACTCTGCATAAAAGTAAAATTTTACTCAGAATAAGAGTAAAATTTTACTCTGAAAAACTAGTAAAATGTTAGACTCTGCACAAAAGTAAAATTTTACTCTAAAAAATGAGTAAAGTGTTAGACTCTGAATCTAAAAGTAGAATGTTACTCTGCACAAAAGTAAAAAAGCGAAGGCAGAGTTTGTGGCGGTTGAAGTGTTTGGCAATGATCACCTCTTGACAGTAAAATTTTACTGTCATTCTAACACCAGAGTAAAATTTTACTCTAGTTCTCTCAAACAAAAAATAGAGCAATAGAACCAGAGTAAAATTTTACTCTCATTATCTGAAACAAAAAATAGAGCAATAGAACCAGAGTAAAATTTTACTCTGGTTCTGTCAAATGAAATCAGATAAAAAACTACAAAAAAAATTCAAAAAAAAAAAAAAAAAACAAAAACAAAAGAAATTAATCAACAAATCAACATATCTAATTGAGAAGAAAAACTTCTAAAACTCGATCAACAATTACAAATCTTAATGAAACTCTCATTTAATTGAGAGTGTTCGATCGTCAGCGGCAAGATCGTCTATTGTTGACCAAGTGAGAGATCTTTGGCTGCGAGATCTATAGATTTGGAGATCGTCTTCATCGATTTCGTTCCTGCGAGATCTTCAACTCAGATTTCAAATATTTCAAATGTATGATATGTATATACAAAAGGGCAATATTGTGATAAAAAAAAATAGAAATTATAAAATGTCCTTATTAAGGTAGGCATTTCCTACTCAGGGGCTTTTTGAAAAGAAAATTGATTGGGTTATCCTTTACCCTAATAAAAAGGCCCAAAATAGGGGTTTCACAAAAAATCCCATTTATTTATTCACTTTTCTCTCATTTTTTTCTCTGTCTACCTAATATATCTCTTTTTGTATCTACATCTTGATATAAATTTCTTCTCATATTTTAAGAGGACATGTGACTATCTTTTAAATTATGATGATCATCATATACAAAATCAAATTAATAACAATAAAAATAATGAACGGTTAACTTGAGCTTATATTTAAATATAATTTTTGTATCACACTAACTTTTAATCGTACCATCGAATAAAAATTTAAATATTAAGTTAAGTTGGATTGTGATTGCGGTTTTTATTAAAATTTTAATTTAATGACACCCTTTCTGCGCCAAAATCCTAGTTCCGCCATTGCTCGTAGGGCCCAACATGAGTCTTGTTTTGATGATCTGAATTATTCATTTTATGAGGCTCGTAAAAAATTTAGAGTTCTGGAAGGCAAAAAGATTCTCCACAAAGAATACAAGACGAGATGATTCTTTCTTTAATCTGCAAAAAGAAACCAACTAGTTAGTGATCGCTCCAGACCAGATATGGTTGGAAAAACCCTCCAACGATCAAGTTAGAAATATGATCGGCCATATAGTATTTGTTTAGGAAGTAAGATTTTCTATCTTCCTTTTGCTACCTCTTTCACTTTTCCTTATTCTTCTTTTTATGGTGTTATTGTCCTTGCCTTGACTGTTAGATTGACATCTTTATCTAAGGACTCTGGTTACTACCAGACTTTGGTCGGGCAAGTGGCCAGGTTGTTTTGATCATTTGCCGTTGGATTACCTTGCTGTGTGCAGCTTAAATTATGTCAGGCGTTTAATGGCCAACTTGTCGATTGCTCCATTCGTCCGATTAGATTTATCGGATGGTTATTTCGCTTACGTGGATTAGGCCTATGTATCTATACCTAATGATTGTGATCCTTATCGTCAATTGTGAATAAATTTAAGGGCATCCATGTATTTTGCAAATCTCCTTCTAAAAAGTAGTTTTACCCGAGCTTTGACACTACCCCTTCTTCTGTTAGACCTATCAATGACTTGAACCTTTCTCTTGATTCGGATTGTTTGGTTGAACTTGAACGTTGGGCCTTTGGTTAACACTTATGGAATGTGGGTCAATTTTTTATGTCTCCACAAGAGTGATCTGATAACCGTAACTTTTTTATTTTATTGCATTTATTTCTAAAAAAATGAATAATATATTTCAAATATATATTTATCATTTATTTTTTGGATATAAATGTAATAAAATAAAAAAGTTGTGATTGTTGGATCTAATTAATTTTTTTCATAGATAATATACATAATAAATTTTATAAAATAAATAATTTAAATCATTAAAACTTTATTTGTGTTAAACCCTATAGACCACTCAAATTTTGTTACGTTGAGATCTAGAGAAGCGCAACCAATCTATACTCAATTATACACATGAGCATCTCCAATGCACTAGGCATATAATACTTGTTAGTTAAAATGCCTAGTGTGATTCACTTTTTTCAATTCCAATGCACTAGGCATATGATTAGGCATTTTGGCTCAACTCATATTCACTAGCTACATGTAGTTAGCCTTCAACGCTAGGCATAATGTATTAAATCATTAAGATTATTTCCCTCCATCTTTGTTGTTGACGTGGCATTCTATAAAATTAATAGTATTTGAATAAATAGCTAAAATAAAGAGCATGGTTGGAGTAAAAACATAAAACAGTTGATAGGCAAAATAAAATATATACTTTATAGTAATATTTAGATAGGTAAAATGCCTACTACCGTTGGAGATGCTCTAAAAGAATGATGTATACACATTTTCTTTTAAAAAAAATATATAAAAGTAGATATGTTTCTAGAATATTATTTTCACGTGTATTTTCTTGAGCTAGTAGTTTTAGCCACAAAAGCAACCACAAAATCTTGCGCGTACGATAGACACCACCACACCCAATAACACTACAATACGCCCCATATTAAGGCTAAATTCCGCCGCTTCGTCGCCACTCGCCCCGTTGCTTCTCTCTCTCTCTCTCTCTCTCCACTGTCTTCCGTAAAAATGGATTTCCCATTCTGACTGATTCCAATTGAATTCCCCAGAACCCATTCCAAGAAAAACCCAGTCATGGCTTCTCTCCATTTTCTCAAATCCACCTCATCTCCTTTCTCACTCTCTCACTCCAATTCTTCGGAATTCAATTTCCATCTTCGCTGTAGAAAGTTTCTCAAGTTTCAGAGCCATCGCAGCTCTCAAATTTCCATTTACAGACGAGGCCTTAAGCTTTCTTCCAAGCTTCAAGAAGGTGACAATCAAACCAATGGTAAGTTTGTCTCGATCTTTTCATTTTATTTATTATTATTATTATTTTTTTATTTTTAATCGTGTTTGTGGAATCTATGGGATGCTGAGATTGTAGAGCTTGAACATGAAATGGGTTATTCGAATAGGCATATACATGTATTTGTGCTTTATGTTTGTGGGTTGGTTTGAGAGGAACTACCTAGGTGATAGAAAGTGAACTAAAATCGTAGATTTTGGATGATGATTTTGAAACTATTGATTCAAGAATGAATACTGGAGACAAAATTCTATAGAGTGATAGTTTCATAGACAAAATACTTGGTGGTTTATTTTATTTTATATTATATATATATTGAATTAATTTTATTTTTTGTTAATTTCGATTGGTTGTAAACGTAACATTAATTTACATAACAAATAAAAATATATATTTTTATTTTCGTGTCAGTGTCCTCATGTTTTTTGAAGTCACCATGTCCGTTTTTCTTACCGGAGGTTGACAAAGACCTTCAGCAAATCGTTGGTGGTGAGGAAGAGATTTTGGTTGAACAACCAAAATACTGGCTTGATTTGACTGTTCTGGAACACATCATTGACACTTGTATAAACAAAAGAGAGGTTACTGTTGTTTTCATTGTCATTGTCACCGTCTTCAACTTCTTCGGCTGATGACATAGAATAAGGGAATGTGAAGACAGCCTAGAAGATTTTGTTGCACTTCTGGTTCATGATAGCTGTCTCACTCTATGCAAATTTTTATTTATTTTAAAATCATTTGACTTATGAACCCAATTGAAAAAATGGAAAGGCTACGATAATCTGTTTAGAAAAGTGAGCTGGTTTTAGTTGTGCTTGCATAGATGGCACACATGCACATTCTTGTTCTAGTTGAGTAGTTGAAAAATTGACATTCGTAGAAAATGTTTGGTGTCGAATTTGAAGCATATTGAGTGTATTACTTACAAGAAACTGATCCCTTTACGAGTGTTGATGTTGAAAAGATCTCTTTTGTAGTTGCTTGTGGGTAAATTCATAAAATATTTTTGTTGCATTCATCTAAAAGAAGGAATCTGTGATTCTCATTGATGTCATCAAATTCAGACATTTATGTGTACATCTTTCTTTCTGCTCAGAAGAAAAGGAAGAAAGGCAAGGGTGTGTGGGTGGGAAGAAAGGTGCATCTAAATCCCCGGGTTTTATATTTCTTTTGAATTTCAGGTGAAGAACCTCCCGAGTCATTGTTTATGAAAGAATTAAGGAGACGGGGTATGACTCCCACTTCATTGTTGGAGGAAAGCAATAGGAGCATCTATGGAGACGAGGAGATAAAATTAAAGGAAGAAGAGGGAGGGTATTCAAAAAGAAATGCAGTGTCAACAGATTATGAAAAGGCCTTATCTAATCAAAGGGAACGTTCCATAGCACTGAACAGTGAAGGCCTTGAGGTTGACACACACTCTCTCTCTAAATTATTTTTCTAACTTTTTTAGCTCAAAGTTTATTTTTGCATTAGTGTGTGATTTGTGTCAGACATGGAGTTATTGCCTCAGTTATATTCATCCCAAGCACATATTTTCTCTTTAAGCATGGTAATTAGTGCAAATATTCTGCATGCTTCTTCTCAATGTTTTACAACCCTTGTTGGCACTTAATATTTCATGGCTTTTAGGCACTAGTTCTCGGAATAATTTTCTCCTATATTTTTGGTTGTGCATTAAACGCATTTTTTTTTTTTTTAAATTTTTTTTATTGTCATGCAAACATGGTGTCATGCATAACCATAGACTTTAATCTGTTTGTTAATATACTTTTTAAAAGGGGTTCATGTAAGAAGTTGGCACAGAAACAAAAGACCCCAGGATAATTTAGTATGTTTATGCAACCTAAAGGAGAAGACACGGCGTTCCAGCCCAGTTCCAGCAATGCACTTCTTGAAAACCAGGGAATGTCAGAAACATGAGGAGAAAATTCCCGAGTGCATCTAATTGAAATATTGATGCTAGCGAGAAAGTTGTCTCTGTATAAGGATTAACAATTAAATTGCATTATGTGGTCGGATCTGTGCATCAAAGTCATCCAGCATAGTGAGTAAATAAGACAAATCAAGCAGTTAATTTATAGATAATAAAGAACACATTTCCCTTATAGAATTCATCTCCTTGGCATCATTGGTGGAGGACTGGTAGGTATATCCCTGCTGTACCCAATTGCATTGGATATAGCATCTATTTCTCTGTAAACTGTCCCGACATTGATTCCGGTTAGCTCCTTTATGGGTCCGACAAGACTCTGTAAACTGTCCCGACATTGATTCCGGTTAGTTTCTACAAGGGTCCAGCAAGACTCCGTAAACTGTCACAACATTGTCTTCTACAACGGTCCGACATGACCCCATAAACTGTCTTCTACATCGGTCTGACACCACCATACAGTGTCCTCTACAACGTTATGACACCCCATACAGTGTCTTCACCAACGGTCTGACACGACCATACAGTGTCTCCTATCCTTTTTTATTTTTATGTATTTTCTTGTTTTGTTACTCTCTCCAAACTCAAGTTGGTTAGTTTCTCTCCTCCTTGAGTTTGCGGGGGGCTGTTAGAATTTCCCATCTTTACCTTCACCTACTCCACTACACACTCCACTTCACCTACCTCTACTCCACTACACACTCCACTTCACCTAACCCACTATCACCTCCACTACACCTACTACCACATTTTCTTCTATATATAGATTGTATAGGAATTGTAATTAATGCATCTTGTAATCTATCAATCAAGACATCAATCAATAATACATAAATTCTTACAATTTCCATAGTTGATGTAAGATTTAATATGCAAAGTTGTCTTATAGCTCGCACTTTTTGTGTGTCTGTCTATAGAGTGATTTGATTCTGTGCTGAAAACTTAAGTACTGATCCTGATCACCAAATGTTCATAAGTTCATATTGTCAAATTTTTGTTAATAGCTCTTTACCTTGACTATGCGTCAGTCAGAAGACCTTATTTCAAAATCTCTGGTAAACTGGTATCCAATTCAAGATATAATACCTTAAAACAAGGACCATATCAAGAATCCTGTCACAGATCTTGATTATATGAATTTGACAAATTATCATTGTTCTTCTTTATGCAATTGAATCACAGGTAACAATTCCTCACACATTAAGGCTATTATGTTATCTAATGTTATTTGAACATGTTACCAAGATGACTTGTTTTTCTTGGATATATGGTCTTTGTATCATAATAACCCCACCCCCCCCAAAAGAAAAAAAAAACCGAAAAGGCCAATACGTAATTATCATATACATGCTAAAATGGATTTTAATTGTTGTCATTTACTTTTTTCCTAATGTGTGCATGCTATATGGAAGTGAATTACATTTTCATCTGCTTCTTTGATTCAGGGTTTGATTCCACGTGCTAAAATTTTGCTATCCATTGGAGGAACATTTTTCTTGGGGTTTGGGCCATTGATCCTCATAACAGTTGCATTATTCTCTGCCCTATACCTTGTAAGCTTCTCTTTGATCTTTAGCATGCCTCATGACTTAATTGTTTCCATTACCCAGATGTGTTTAATATATTTCTATAGTTATTTTTCTGATGTACTGTGTGGCTAACATGACACTAGCTGTTTATATGCTCACGGAATGGGGTTCGCAGAATTTTGAAATTTGAAAGTTCTTTAAAGAAGTGACTGGTCAGGATTTGTATTTTTATTAGCTTATAACCTCACAACTGATATTAATTCAAAATGTTTGAGCATGTATCTCAGAGTGGTTGACATTGTCACATTATGACTGGGAACACAAAGTCACCAAACAAGAAAGAAAGAGGACCATATAAATAATTTGCTGAAAATTTTGAGTCTAGATTTGTCAGTTGCCGGAGTGTGAGCAAACCAATTATGTTTGGAAATCAGATGAAATCTATGGTTACTGGCAGGAGCTTAGCCCCAATTGATTTTTACTCAACTTATTAGGACCAAACTTCGAATTACAAAAGTTCAAAGGATGATACGGTTCACTTGGGAATTTTTGGTACAGGCTTCTCGATACCAGCATTGTATTGTGGAAAGCAGGCCAAAACTTTTTCCCTGATGCTGTACGAAGCTTGATATGAAAAATAACCTGTTGGCCTTAATTTTCTTTCATTTTTACTCTTACAAAAATATATGTGAAATTGTTGGCTACATGTTGTTGGGATGCATGTGGCTGGAGAATTTTTTTTTTTTTTTTTTTTTTTTTTCAGCAAAAGAAAACATTTATTGAATAGGAAACAAGGCAAGCCTTACATCTTACAGCATGTGGTTAGAGATGTTTATTCATGTTGTGTCAAATGCAATGAAAACCTCGGTATTGATTATTTTCTTTTCCTTGTGTCTTCTGCAGTATTTTGGACCAACTTTCGTCCATGATGCAAGCAAAACATCTGTAACACTACCCCAATATATTGACCCATATTCACTTCTCGAAGATGAAAGGATATCTCAAACAGCTCCTGGTGTAAATTGAAGTGCAAACATCTTTCAGACATCAGCTTCTTCAAGCCTCACTTGCAGGTTTCTGTTGCCTTATCTGCTGTTGTCATTATTCTATTCTTTCCCTGTAAAAACATAAAATTAGGAAGAACATGTATTATGTTTGTTTATGATCCAACTGTTTTCATGAACTTTCTAATCACAAGGAATGCCCATTAGAATCAAATTTGATGTCTTCATCCATGTATTGATATCTATGGCATTTTCTTTCATGAGAAATCACATTGAATCTGCAAGTGACAATGAGAGAGCTTGTATATATATATTAAAAGTTACATTCTATTAAATTTTGTATATGATGAAAGCAATTCTAATAGTTAGGCTTGGAAACAAATCTGACTTTGATATATTGTGTATCGTAACCTAATTTGTTATGATTTAGAAACATGTAGGAACTGCCACACTGAATCCATGCTGACCACTATAATATGATTTTGCCAAGGTTTCAATAATTTACAAGAGATGTGCTAATATTTACAGGATGTGTATGTATATGAAAAAATGGGTTTGGTTCATAAAGAAAAGGGTTGATACTCTAGATGATGAAATCGTATCAATATCGTATTCTAGTTCTTCTTGTCTCGGAGCCATGCACTGGTTAGGTGTTATACAGAAAAGAAAACAAAAACATATCCAATTTGGAGAAGACTATTGATTGACTTGTTTGATAAACCACATTCAATGGTTTATTGTATATATATACATATATATTGCTAGAGTAATATATGTATTTGTTATTAACTAACTTTTTACAACAATTGAGACTAAGGGACGGTTAAGATATAGATTGGAAAGGCTCGTAGGTCTGGACGGCCTTGATGAGTCCTTGAATAGATCCGGCAGCGGCAACGAGCGATATGATCAAGCAGGACAAGCTCAGTAGTTGCAGCCAAATCCAGGTGGAAGAAAATTTACGAATCTTTGCTTGTGAAATGTACATCTCAACTGGAAAATACACTGTCAAGGGCCAGAAAGCAGAGGCACCGAGAAGACCCAAGAAATCATTGAAGAATGGAAGTAACATTGCGATGATAGTTGTGAAAATCACGTATGCTGTTCTCCAGACAAACCGAAAGAGGTTGCTGTTGAAAGTGCCTCCAAATGGCATGGCAATGGGGTATTCTCTTGCTATGAATCCACTTTGTGGCCATCGCTTGCTGCTCCAACTTTCAACGAACCCAAATATTGGTTGACAGAATACCTACATTTATATGCTACAACACAATCAAAATCTGAACAAAGAAAATGTTGAATTGAATCATACTAGTCTCTACTGAGAGGTTCTTAGTCTATATATGACAAGCTGAACTAGATGTTTTCTATTCATTATTTTCCCTTTAAATTAAGGGAAAGAAAGAGAATAGTAATAGTAGGAATTCTCTTATCCCAATCTGAAAATTATCCATGACTGTTTATGTCTCTAGTATGGTCACTCGATGAAATGTGGAGGGAAGTCGGGTAAATGGTCGATACTATACTGGAAGGATTCCTCTTTGGCTGATAGGTACTGTAACTGCTATTCTTGCGTGATTAGTTCAATAGGTATTTTCTTTTACGATCCATAGTTCAGATTGGGTTCATCCCTGTAGTAATCGAATGAATTGGGTTGTGCCTGTTCTAACAAAAGAACCAGCAGGTACAGTATTTTATGGAGGAAAGCCAGAAGGATTTGTAGAAACCAAATTGCGTCATAGACTCTTTTAAGTATGTTTGATGTTTGTTTACCTGATAGGCTCCAACAAGATGAACAATAATGCACACGTTAGCAATGTCGACAAGCCAAAAGGGTTCATAGAAGCCGAATCCAGTCAGAAAGTTCCCTGGCGCGTGGTTCCCAAATGCTGCATAACCGACAAGTCCACATGACATATAGAACATGGTACTGACTGAAATCCCAATCAAGGTAGCTTTCTTCATTGCTACATTCTCCGGTGGGGTAGATTTTAGTGTGTTCTGCAATGCAGGGAAACTTCTCTTCAATCAAATGCAAAACAGTGAAGAACAAAACTGGGGGCAAGCTACTAGAGCAAATGCATGGCCTGCAAGTCTAGAACCAACATGCTTTATTTCAGGGTGGGCACGAGCCCGGTCTGGATTGTTTTTCTAAGGATTTAGGATTGATATTTTAACTTGTAAGATCAGGATGGGCTGAATTTTATATGGGTTAGACTTAAAAATAGTTCCTGAGGTCCAATTTGGCCCTGTCGATGCCGACCTCGATTCTTATTCCTTTGTCTCAATATGCATCCTCTTGGAGAATTGAGATGAATGAAGATAGTGTCCTTACAACATCATTTGAAAGTAAAGATTGGCATCAGACTGGGCTGCTGCCCAAACCCGGCTGTGGGTGGCCAAGTAAGATGGACTTTTTTCCTTCTCGTTCTGCTGGCCCGGCCAAAGGCCCAAAATCTTAACCCCATGCCCTCTACAATGGGCTTGGCTTCGACAGGTTAAAGGGGCCGACTTGCGAGTTAAGTCCAACGGGTTGAAATTCAGGTCTATCTTTGGGCTTTTTAATTATTTTTCCCGTGTTTTTATATTTTCTGCTGATTTGCGAGCTGGGCTGATGGCCAGGCCGACAGGCCATGTCTTACTGACCAACAGGCTGTGCTGGGCTTCAACACTGAGGCCCAATCCCAGCCTTATTCGGGCCTGGCTAGCCTTTGTGCCAAATTGATGACCCTTGTTTCATAGTACTATTTTAACCAACAATGTGAATAAAAAAGGCCATCAAAATATATAGAGATCATCACACACACACACACACACACACACACACACACACACACACCATGACATAAGTAAATGATTTTCTATGTTTGAGATTAGCATTTGATTTGCAAATTAAAAATGAGCTGTAGGATAGGCGTAGGTAGAGGGAAGCTTGCCTGTATCTCAATGAGGACATTAGAGAAAGCATAGGCAAAAGCGATGTTACCAAGTGCTTGGAAGGTGTTCCATATTTTCTGTGAATTTGTCATTCCATCCTCTCCAATTGGTATTCCTGTTAGGTTTGTCTTCGGATGATGCCCCTCTTCAAAAACCAAAATTAACACCCACCATTTCTATATCAGACTTAATAATTGATTCTTGTGTTGTGAATACATAAGATACTTAGTGTTTTGATTTTGTAAAGCAAAATCATATGTAAACTTAGAGATTTGATTGACCTGCAACTTTGGCAATGGCGAGGCCGAGGCCAATGGCAGAGTAAGTGAAGGACATAATAGCAGCGACGATGGACAGTATTGAAAGATCATGAAAGTTTGGTATTTGGCTGAGTATTATCTGCTTCACCCCAAATATCATCATGAAGATATTGTTTGATGTATGACAACCCACTTTGTGCCCTTGCTTGTGGAAACAATTCGATCTTTTTATAGCCCTAATACATATATATGTTGAGAGAGAGATCAAAATTTAAAACGACATATATATATATACATATATATATTAAAAATCAATAATGAAATGAAGTTATATGATGATGAGGATGATGATACTTACGCCATGCTAATAGCTGTAGTGATAGTGTATCCTATTGTTACTCCAACAAGATTTGCATACTGTGCCACTCCACAGAGCTTGACTTTTATTCCTCCTGTGTTCGCACCCACACACACACAGTTAATCATAGTCTGAAGAGAAAAATTCAGTGAGGGGTCATATTTTATGACATTGCATCTTTTGTTCTCAAGATTAAAATTTCAGTTCCTTCGTTTATTCTTAGCCACAAGATTGTCTTTAAAGATTTTTATCACATCTTGTGATTGACAGTACATTAACGCTCTGTTTTTTTTTTTTTTTTTTTGTGTGTGTGATCAAAATGTTTGTTTAGACCGCATTTTTTTTTTGTATTTGGTACAACAAAAAATAAAAGTTAATAGAAATTTAGGCGGAAAATGTTTTTCACCTTTAAGAAAGTGAAAAATAATTTTCAAATTAAAATCTTACTAATGCTATCATACAATCACTGTCACCGTCATTGCCACAACAACCATCACTATCACCACCGCTGCCAAACCACCACCACCACTGTTGTCGTTGCTATTCCACCACCTCCTCCTCTGCCCATTGTCACTACCACCACCACCACCACCACCACCACCACCTCCTAAGGTTGTGTTTGATTTAAGAATTTGTGTGAAGAAAAGAAAAAGGGAAAGAAAAAATTTAAAAAAGAGAAGTTATATTTCATATACCATCACCATCTTTTTTTCTTTTTTCCCTTCAAATTTTTGATCCAAACAAAATGTCCTTATCCCATATTTGAATATATTTCATACTAAAAGATGGTGGAAACACAATGCCAAGAAAGATTGATGAGTAATTGTTTTAGCCAGCATCTTTTGTAGCCTTTCAGACGTCAAGACTGTTGAGTAGCTCATTTTTTTAAATATTTTTTTAAAATTTTTTCTATTGTAAATCTCTTCTCAAATTTATGATCTAAATTAAATATAGTTTTAAGAACTTAAATTGGGGGGGGGGGGGGGTGTTGGAAATGTGTCTGCAATGTCTGTAATTTTCAGTCACTTGAAGAGTAGCTTGCAATGTCTGTAATTTTCACTCACTTGAAGAGTAGCTTGATTGAGCAGTCAACAAAATTTTGTGCTAACATAAGGTGCTCTAGGCTAGCAACTTGACTATATTCTTGAATGGTAGATTGTTTATCGTCTCCCTTCTTTGAGGGTTTTTTTCATTTAAATCCTCATTGTACTTCATTTATTATTTTTGTTGATGATGGAACCCCTCCAAGGCAGATGCCCTTTTGACCTACCCTGCAAGGTAAAACTCAGGAGGTACGCCAGCGTCCCTACAAGCATACATTAGGGGAAGCTGAGGAGGCTCAAACTCAAAACTTGCTGCTTCATTGGCAAAAGTCTCACTATTCAAATATGGACTTGTGCTTTATTTATTTGCTCTATTTTTTATGTTTAATTGTTTTCTTTACGGAAAAGGAGTCACTGCAGCAGTGACTGTAGTGCCTTCATTTGAGGTGTATTATACCCTTATTTTTATGATATAAACCATTCACTTTGTAGGGTTTGTTGAGTACTTTATGCCTACCAAAAATCATATTAATCGGATATCAATAACTATATGATCGAATTGCATATTGTTTATGCTATGTCTCAAAAGAAAAACTTATTATTTATTTTTTTGGGTTATTGATCATATAGTTGTTGATATCCGATTAATATGATTTTTGGTAGGCATGAAATACTCAACAAACCCTACAAAATGACGGTTTGGATCATAAAAATAAAGTCATAATACACCTCAAATAGAGGCACCACAATCACTACTGTGCTTTGAGCACAACAGTGATCCTTTGTCCTTTTTTTACACCCTTTAGGCCAACATAACAACATTTAGGTTTTTTATTTTTATTTTTTTATTATAAATTTTTTTAGGAGTATTTATTCATAAATCCGTCTTCGCCTATTTATATTCTACTTAGTCCAAATTATTTTTTTATATTCTAATAAGTCTTGTGCATGACATAACTACCAAAATATCTCTAATAATAACATTGACAGTGTGAATGTGAATATTCACACTGTAAAATATGAATATTCACATCACCAAGTTGCTAAGCGTTCAAGAAATATTTGTAAGGGTAAATTTTTTTATAAAATACTTAAATATGAGAATTAGAATTTGATAGATCAAATGTTTAAATAATAGGACTTATTAAAATAAAAAAATATGTTGTGGACTAATTAAAATACAAATACTTGAAAAAAGAATTTATTAATAAATCCCTCTTTATTTTAATTGTTAGGGGAGATAGAAATGTACCTAGATTAGATCTAACAGCATCCATGTAAGTGTAGTTTCTGGTGCCAGTAACAGGGTCTCTGTAGCAGTCAGCAAGCATGTGAGAAGTAAACGCAGTGATGATAGAGAATAAAATCAGTGCAATTGGGCCTGCAATCCAACCCAACTGTGCTATAGCCCATGCCAATGACAACACCCCTGACCCTATCACTGCTGTTATTATATGTGCACTTGCAGTCATCACAGTTCCTTCAAAATTTCAAAAAAACCCAAAATTTATATTAAGTGAAAGTGAAACTGTTATATAAAGCACGAGTAATGATAGACAAATAGATAATATATATTAAAAAAATATTATTGACATATAATTTTGATAATTGGTTTTATATGAAAATTCTGAAAGAATAGTACTTTCTTATGAAAAATAGTCGAGTCTCTTATTATATATAGGTAGCCTTACCATTTTAAAGAAAGAACCCATCAAACAAAAATGATACAGACCTCCACAAACACCTCACCCCCACGACTCCTATGCACCCGTGCCAGAGAGATAGGAAAAAAAAAAAAAAAACAAAAACACACGTGACCAATCACAATCATTTGGGGGTCATGAGGGTCTCCCAAAATGAGAGTCTCAAGTATTTTTCACCCATCAAAATGCTTCTTAATATCAAAAGTGTCACGACGTATTATTTAAGTTAGTTTTCTACATGAAAATTTTAAAAGAATAGCGGCCATGTTTAGTTTAGTTTTCAATTTTTTCAAAGATTTTTTTTTATAAAAAATTAAAAATTAATATAGTAAAAGAAATAAAAAAAATCAAAATCTTTTTTATATAATTCTATCTTTTGGGAAGTTAGAAATGATGTTTAAAATTTTAAAAATATATTGTAAATATTTACTCGTATTAAAATAATTTCTATTTTTTTTTTAAATCATGAATTATTTTTTTTCTTGAAAAACAAACTAAATATGGCCAACATTTTTCTATAAAATGATGATTTCAGAGACTTTTATCATTATAGGATCTCAAAAGATTAGATATACGCAATCTTATTCTGTGTAAAAGGTTGTTTTTATTGTTTAAACTCACGACTCGAAGCCATGAAAAAAAATGTGTGTGAGAGAGAGAAGGGAACATAAACACATACCAGTTCGTTTGGGGTGGCCATCATCATCAAACTTGTCAGTAGAAATGCCATTTTGAGGGCGAAGGCTTGTAGTCTTCTCCATGTCTTTCTCTCTCTATATGGTGGTATGGACAACTCTCCTCTCTCTCTCCAACTCTAAGCAACATAAATGGTTTGAGCATATATGCAATCTAAATAGAAAAAAAAAAAAAAAGAAAAGAAAAGAAAAGAAAAGAAAAGAAAAAAAAAAAGGAGTGAAATGTTAAAAGGGTAAAAGGTAACTAGTTCAATTGCCAATATTCATTTTTAACAGATTCTATGCACATTCCCAAAAAAAATTACAAAATAATATAAAAAAAAAAGTCTCGTTATTTTTATCAATAATGTTAGGAATACAGAAATCAAAATGAAATACAATCTTCTCACAAAGAGTGAGTCCTAACCCTTATAAGAACATCGTGTTACAATCTGTATTTGATTTCTGTACACATAAACTTACTCGATTTTTATTTCAAAGCAATAACAGAACTTTTCAATTAATGCCTCAAGATTACTTTAGATGTGATAAGGGAAAGACCACAATGTTTGTAGGTTCAAAAAATTATTCAGAAAAAAATCAATAATTTACATTTATTATAAATGTGACTCACACCCCTACAAATTTTAAATTCATACCACTTGGTTACATAGTAAAAAGTTAATTTTTTGACTTTTTAACTTATTTTTAGTTAAAAAAGCCACAAAAAAGTTAATTTCTGTAGTAAAAAAAGTAATAAAAAATAAAAAAACTAACTTTTAACCAACTTCCTAAAACACCCTTAAGATTTAGAATAAAATGTCACAACTCATATTATTTATGGCGAGTGTGAACACCATAAATATTTATGGCGAGTGTGAACACCATAAATATAGTCTGGCGAAGGTTATAATAATCAATTAGTGATACATAAATTTAGGACAGTCAATATTTGTTCATGATTGTTAAAAGTAGGGGTGCAACTTGGGCGGGTTCGGTCGGGTTGGGGGTCTGCCCAAGCCCGACCCGAATTGTATTTGGCACTACCCAAGCCCGCCCAAGCCCGACCATGAATCCGAACATTGTTGCCCAAGCCCGGCCCAAGCTTTGTATTTTGAACTCGGGTTGCCCGAATTGCCCGAGTTCAGAAACCTGTAGGTAGACCTAAGAGTAGACATAAAAGATGCTAATCTAATGGTAGAAAACTAACCAAAAAAAAATAAAAAATAAAAATTAAGACTAACTCTTTTACTTAATTTATATATATTATATAATTTATTAAATTATATATATATTATATATTATATATTATATAATTTATATAATATATTAAATTGAATTCGGGTTCGGGTTGCTCGGGTTGGCCATTGGTTCTGCCCAAGCCCGGCCCGAATTGCAATTCGGGCATCAAAAATCTGCCCAACCCCGTCCAGATTACAAGATATAGTTGCCCAAGCCCTAAAAAAACTCGGGCTGGGCTCGGGTTGCTCGGGTTGAGCCCGCCCAAGTTGCACCCCTAATTAAAAGAGATAAATGAAATCCAGTTATTTTTATAAAATGCGTTCAAACACAACATACTACATTTTTTATTTTTTATTATTAATTGTTGTGAAATGATTACAATCCATTTCAACAACGGTTTTAGTTGTGTCATATCACGTTGTAAATAAAATTTAATAATAAAAAAATAATAAGTATAATATCAAAAATAATAAAAATATCAAATATTTTATTAAATACGAGTATGAATTCCACACCTATGAATATTTGATAAATAATTTAGTAAAATTTTTTTGTACCCTAACCTTGCTCATGTAATATTATTAGCAAATAAGAAATAATTGCATTCACATCCACCAAAAGTGTCCAAATTTCAAGTAAAATCCATCATGCAAAACATTAATTAACAGTTGGACTTTGTAAGTCAAAGCCATATCTATCTAGCCATCTTTTATACTATTATATATGTAAATATTGAATTTCGTATTCAATTCTCTAAATATATTTCTCATGTCAATTGGTAAATTTCTATATATTAAAATAAAAATTGTTATACTATATCACAAGCAGGTTTCATTAAGAAAACATTTACTATTTAAATAATTTACATGTCATGATATTAATTTATTTATTAATTATTTTTGTTTTTACTTTTCTGAATTACGCACTACGCACAGATTGTGTGTGCCATCCGTTAATTTATATATATAAAAATCACTTAAAAAATACTTAAAAAGAATCCAGAATATATAAAAATTACAATATCGAGATAATCGGTCAGTATTACATGGATCTTATGGCAAAAATCACCAAAAGATTTGAAAGTTGATTCTTGGAACACAAAAGAAGGTAAGTGAGCCATATAGCAAAGTCTTCTTAACACTAATAATTCACTTTAAAAAAAAAAGAAGAATATTCCTATTCACACACAATGAGAATTTAACTATTTACAAAAAGTAGTCCTATATACATATAAAAAAAAAAGGATTATTCAAGACAGAGACATGTAATAAATTGTCTTTCCAATTTTTGCATATTATTCTCCATAGGATTGGTGAACTTTTCCCCTCTTGTTTTGTTTATTTATTTATTTTTTTTTGCAAGCATTTTTTGACAAGTCTTTTTTCTTCTTCATTTTTCTCTTTAAAAAAAATAAAAAATAAAATTGGTGCATTTGACATGATGAGCCAATGTGGTGGTCATCTTGTCCTTGACTAGGAAACCTCTTTATAAAACTTTTACAAATATGCAATAAAAATATAACCAAACAAAATATAAAAAGAAAATAATAGAAAATATTCTTTCTTTCTTTGTAGGAGTTACGTTCCCTTCGTGTCTTCCTATTTCGCTTTTTTCCCTATATCCTTTCTTCCTTTGATAAGTCTTTTTTCTCTTTAAAAGAATAATGTTTGAGGGCCACAATTTGTGTGGCTCAAATAGCTCAAAACTGCCAAAACGACGTCGACGTCGTTTTGGCAGTTTTGAGCTATTTGAGTCACACAAATTGTGGCCCTCTACCATTGCCCTCTTTAAAAATGGTGCATTTGACTCCCAAAAGATTACGGACCTCTTTTTTTTTTTTTTGGAGTAGTGCTATATATCACAACTTTGTGAATTTGATATATCATTTCTTACATTTTTTTTATACGTTTTAAAAAAAAAAAAAATCAAGAAAAGTCATAAAAATAACTTTTAATCATCTTCTCAAAACAACCCATGATATCCCACCAGCTGATGTGATGAGCCAGTGTGATGACCATTTTGTCTCTGGCTAAGAGATATATTTAAGAAATTGTTTGAAAATATGCAATAAAAGTTAAAATTGGCAAAATACTGAAAGAAAATAATAGAAATCCTTCTTTCTTGTACAAGGTTCCCTTGTCTTTTTATTTCGCTTCTCTCCCCACATCCTCTCTCTTTCAATGCAAGCCATTGAGAAAAGATGTATTCCAATCTCAAATTAAAACTATTACATTCTACAATGGAACCTAAAAAAAGAGCACCAAGGAACATCTTTATATATACTTATATATATGTATGTATGTATGCACACAAAGAGATAGATGGATATGAAAGAAATTAAGGTGATTAAATCTCAACTTCAATCAAATGTTGAATCACATACCATCAATCCTCTTTTATCTCTGAATTGTTGGATTATCCTCTAAAGGATGAGAAGTGCCTTCGTCCCAAATTATTCACCTGCTTTAGGGTTCATAAAATTTTAATCATGGAAGCAACAAAATTCTTTGAGAATCTTGAGGCAGAAGATTTACAATGAAGGAGAAAGATATGAGCAATTCATTATGCTTCTTTTTTTCTCGTTCTTTTTATTCAATACTTGTATGATATTTCAAGTTCAAAAGATGTAAATGAACCACTTAACCAATCACGATAAGATTTTGTGGTGAATAAAGCCCGTATATATAGCATTTCTCTTTTTTTGTACACATAATCTTTTAGAGGCCATGTTTGTTTTGGAGATGTGATTATGAAATAAGGGGATAAGAAAATATGAATAAAAATTTATAATTATTTTAAATTAAAAAATGTTATTTATACTTATCATTGAATGATGTAATTCTAATGAAGAGAATCACAAATGTCATGTTTTAATTTTTTGATGCATCATTGTAACTACCTTCTTAATGCTTAATAGGTTAGCATTTGATAATACTTATTGCATAAGAACTAATGCAATATGTAAAAGATAATGATCATTTTACATTTTTTTTGTAGCTTCTCCACTTTTATCATTTTTCCAAACTTTCACTATTTGTCCCTCTTTTCAAAGCTATTGCTTTATATTGTTGGCTGCTAGCTATGTAAATTTGGCATGACCTTTGTTATATTCACAATAGGCTCAATAGTGCGTGTTATCAGCCATTAGATTTTGTGGTTAAAAAACGTAAAAAAATCACAAAAAAATAAAATAAAATGCCACATCAGACATTAATCAATTATTTTTCTCTCACAATTATTTATTTAATTAATTTTTTTTAAACACATTTAACTTTTTACCCCTCATAAAAAAGTCAAAAAAACATAAATAAAAAAAAAATCACTTAAAAAGACCAATTTACCAAAACCCTCTAAAACAGAGCTTTAATGGAGTCAGTACTCTCCACACTTTCTCTCTCTAAGTTTTTCTCTCTCAAGGTTGTTTGAGTGAGTGTGCCGCTTGGGAGTGAGAGGGGGAGGGGGGCTCTGGCCTCTCTCTGACCACCTCTCTCCTCTGTTTTTTCTTCTTTTTTTTTTTCAAAATAAATCTTGGGAGATCTTTCTTCTCAATCTCTCTCTTTTTGTGATGTGTTTCTCCCTCCTTAGGGTGGATATTTTTGAGTTTCTCCTCCTCCCCCTTTCCTGTCGAATCTAGATCTGTCGTTTCTCGCCGCCACCACCACCACTACACCACAACCGGATCTGCCACCCATCGTCGTTTCTCGTCGCAGAAACCACCACCACCACGCCGCAGCCACTCCTCCACTAGATCTGATTTCTTCCTCCCTCATATCTTTGTTTTGGTTTGCTTTTGAGTTTTTGTTTCTTTTTTATCCGGTATTTTGTATGTTTTGGACTTCATGGGTGTGTTATTGGTAGCTTATCCTCTCTGGGGTGGAAGCTTTTGTGGTATCTCTAACTAGCTCTAGTGTTGATCTCTTATGATCGC